TGTACACGAAACTGGGGCGAATGCAGCCAGCACTAGTCACTCACCACGGTCCCCTGCTCTTACACGACAATGCGCAACCGCATGTGTCACGAATTGTCTTCCAGAAGTTGAACGAGCTGCGAATCGAAGCTCTCCCTCATCCACCCTACTCACCAGACCTGTCGCCAATTGATTACCATTTATTCAAACATCTGGACAGCTTCTTAAAGGAACGAGCATTCAAAAATCAATGCGAGGTGGGAGCTGCCTTTCTCGAGTTTTTGGAATCCAGATCTCCGGACTTTTATAAGAATGGGATAGACAGACTTGTATCACGTTGGCAAAAATGTGTGGAATCGAATGGGGCTTACTTTGAATACAAATGTTCACTTTGAAATGAGTTATGATTTTTTGAAAGATAACTGACATAACGGCCTGAACTTCCCTTACAACCTAAAACATTAACGCAGGATGAACCTGCTCAAACGTGTTCCAAGCTGGTCTACAACCCGAGAAGGTCAATGTGATAGGTAAGCCCTTAACGACAAAGCGGATTCCGACGTGACGCGCCCATGAGACCACTCCTCCTTCCTTTCGGGCGCGACTGGCACCCAGCGGTGAGCGCTTTTGTTTCAGAAGAAGAGCGGGGTACTGAATTGAGCAATATTTCCCGCATAATGGAGTGCCGAAGTGTAATTTTCTCCATCATATCTAATTGAGGGTTAGAAATGAAGTTCCAGCTCAGAAGAAACGTAGAATAGAAGTTTTGGAAATAAGGTAAGCAATAAGCAATAAGCAGTAGGAATTAATATAATAAATAAAGCACTCTGCGATCAATCTATGCTTTGCGGTTGTCATGAAGACTCTGCAACGCTCTCAGGACGTACACAGGTTTTGCGAAAATACCTAACTTTTGTTCGTGGTACCCTACTGACTATACATGTTTGTGATAGATAATCTTCCATGGAACATTCATGATAACCATGATGAATATGAATACTATGAAGTCTGTTGATGCATATCACAATATTGTGTAAGTTTCAAGTGAGGTAAGAAAAAGAAAAAAGGGTGGCACCCAACATCGGGTGCCACTTTCCCATGCACCAGCAATAACGGCACCCACTAGTGGGTGCCGATGTCGTCAAAGGGTTGACAAGGGTTTACGAAGCATGAACTGAGCTCAGGAAACCGTAATGTACGGGACTCTACTTAATAGACTCTACCACGGTAGTGGAAAAGCTCCACCAGAAGCGACGATATCAAAACTTTTTCGGTTCAAAAGACCGGGAAAAGAGAGAGAATCTATGAAATTAGCGGAATGGCAAAGTAAAATCGAAGAAAATGGGCGTATTTCACTGACCAGGGATTACATAGAGGGAATTCCTTTGTAGAACGCTTAGAAATCGTTATTACTTTCCAAAAAACCTAATACTCGATTTTGAGCTTACTCACACATGATTTCATCCTCGATCATCTGGTGGGTAGAAGAAAGTTCATTCGAAGGCGTCCAGTAATTCAGTAACGCTGTCAGTACCAGTGTCTAGTTTTTGGCNCTTGGTTTTTGCTCCATACCTCCAGTCCTACACATAGAATGTTTCTCAATAAGCACCACTACACTTAGCACCTCATGATACAATAAATGAGACCACGGGACCCAGGAGTGGGCGATGGTGAGGGAAGGGGTGGGGGAGGGCATAGTAATCCCGTCGAAATCATAATTCCTCCTCAATTTTTCGTTCAAGATTTCATGGTTTCTGAGCAGAGTGTTTCATAGCACTTGTTTATTTCACAGACATGAAGAAATATTGTGATGAATTCAGCATCTTCTACATCCTCATCGAGGCGAGGAATACGACTGCAATACGTGTAATTTCCTGCGACAAGTGCTATTCACCTGTACACGGATCAACCTCTGCTGACATGACGAAATATGATCAATTGCGAAAATAGAAGATAATGCTATAGTCAAAGATAGAAGGCAGCATCAAGAGCACTTAACAAGCGATATGAAACCTATAACGAATACTTTCTTTCTGATAAAGTAGTTGATATCACTGTAAAACAGGAACGATGGTGTAGTCCGTGACAGCTGGGAACCTCTTGACACTGCATATCTTGCTTTCGCAGTGTGAAGAAATGCACTGTCTCACGAAACCCATCTAGGATCGTCCCCTCTAAAAATTTGTGATTGAAGTGACAGAAGTAGACAATTATGCGTGTCTTCAGTTCTGCCGTCGGAGGTTTGCTATGAGGAAATGTTTTATCATGCGATGGTTCCAAAGAAAAGTCGAACGTGATTTACTCAAGAAACCCTTGCCGTAAGCCTGTTCAAACATTTCCCAGAAGCTTGTCGGATACATGATGAGTCAAACCTATGTTGTCTCCATTGTGTCTTACAGCTCACACAGTTATACTGAAAACAAAAAGTCAGTTGCTGCCCAATGAACCCCTTAGAGCATTCCAACAAGAAAACTCCTCTCCATTGAAGGGAGCGAAGCACCTTTCTTAGGGAAAAATGGCTTTTTACCTATTTCAACTTTACTCTATTACAAGTGTTCTAGTGGGCGTAAGCACAAAATGCTAAAATTTACTGTTACGTGTTCTATAACAGCTGTGAGGTAATCAAAAAGGTCAACACATAGAGTCCATGAAGACTTATTGCCATCGTTGTTATGGTGCAATACAAAGTGCTTCTTCTACACTGCAAACACAGTTGGCGCATTTGCAGTCCTCGTTGCTTGTGCATGGTTTACCAACATCGTAAATAAGAGAACCAAGATAATTTCCTCTGAAAAACGGCTGTCGACTGTAAGATGATAAACCGTCTTTACTGGAGAGCGGTACTTACGCTGGGGCGTATTCGCACCCTACAAGAGTCATATGTTCACACCACCTCACCGCACAGCCGATCTTCTTGCTCGACTGCCAGACCACCTCAAACGATGAAAGTGTTCTTTTCGTCGACAAAACTGAGTAACAATTTCTATATCACCTGAGTATAGTGTCCGACGCCGTTGTTGAAAACCTCCATTGTAAACTTGTTTTCTTCAGGTACACCATGGTGTTCTAATTCGCTGAACCATGAATATACACTCTGAAGTTAAACGTATCTTTTTTTGAAAAGCTGCTAGAATTTAGTTTCCTCACTCCTGCTGCGGCCTGCGTCTTGTTAATGTTAATCCCCCCTGACATCCACAAGTTTTGTCTCCAGTAGTTCCTGTCCTTATAGGAATTATGTGCGAACTAGCATTCTTTGGCGTAGTCCATCATGTTCTTTTCAATGGCGCAATCGTAAGTCTGCAACAGATTGTTACTAGAGAGACGGTCACCTTACACTGCGAATGGTTCTACAAAGTTCCTATACGTGTTGCACCACTGTTGGTAAGTAGCAGTAGGCCAAGTGTTCATACCATTTTCAGCATCCTAGCTGCCATCGGGGCGTATCCTCCTGACCTGTTCTTTGCTTTTCCTTGAGCAACGAGCGTCCTTAACCATTTCTGATAATCACATTACGCCAAATGCTGCCCTGTTTTTTCAGTGGGAAAACCAACCGATACTCGTTGTGTTTGTCCAGGAACGTTTTTCTCACTTCATCCGACATTCCTTCCGCGTCCGAGCACATGGCTGAAAATTTTTAGCAATAGCAGATTCTACAAGAAAGACTAACGGCGAATTGATGATTACTTACATGCTCGTGCAGATGTGGTGAGAAATGCCTAAAGACATCCATTCAGTAATTCATTTGAAATGATCAACGATAGCGTTTAAGCTCGTCTGGGAAGGTGAAAGTATTGACATGCACATGAGCTAGCTTTCCCTTGTGTACATAGGCAAAATACGCATCAAAACCGCCACTAGGATTCTGAATGGAAGTTGAATTCATGGTGCATCTCAGAAACGAGATCAAACAACGTTGAAAGTAGCTATCCTTTCACAGAAGTATAACTTTGATGGTATAATACTCTTCACGATCGCCTGCGTCTCGCTCTAGCAAGGTTCAGATGAACCCGCTTTCCGACAGCGTTCATCGTGCAGCACATTGTCGTTTCCTGAATCGTGCCTTTGTTGTTGATGGGTTCATTATGGTGTCAGAAACCGAATCATTCTGTCACTTTCGCAGTGATGACGTGTCCTATTCTCATTCTCCTTTTTAAGTGTCACCTAGAGCTCACTTGTTACTAACTGCAGTTCTGTTACTTGTTAGGTTTCTCCTACACTATGAACTGAATCTTGATTTGTACACGTATTCTTTACCTATAAAAATATTTGGACGATCTGTAACCTGATTCAGAGAAAGCGAAAAATTTAGGAAGAGAGAAAACTCAATGAGGAAGGGAAGGAGATCCGCCCTCTCCTCGTGATATGCGTGAAATACAGGTGACATTGTGCTGTCGTTAAGCACATGTGACCACTCATCCCCAACTTCTAGATTTAGCAATTTTTCACCTCAAGGTGGGTTGACCAGTAGGATGGATGGTGATCTTCTGATGGCACTGGCCGGACCGATCTTCACGTAACCCTTGCGAGAACTTACTGAAAAGACCAGCGCATCCATGGGAAAAGCCAACGAGAACTTATATTACTGGGTCAGGTATAAAGCTAGATATTTGAGTGTCACATGAGATGAAAAAGATACTCTTGAAGCAGCGAGTTAGTGCCAACGATTTGCGCTTCGAACAAAGTTAAGACAAGCCTATGTGCCAAAAACAGCAATATAAATGGGACTCATTTCCCTTCCCTTGACCTGCGCGAACCGCCAAGGCGGCAGCGTTGTGTAGGACCGTACGGAGAAGCTGCCAATAACTCAGAACACAACATGCTTGCAATGAGGGGCCAAGATGGTGATCTGTCTTCAATGCACGAACGTTACATCGGAGACTGTGTCGATGCTGTACCATGTGTGATGCTCAAGCCAGGAACATCAAGTATGTCCTCATTGGAATGACTTGGACAAAAAGTCGCTTGATGCAGCCCGATTTCAAGATTCGAGATTGAATATTTCTTGGAACGTGTGACAGTAGAAGCGCAGGCGGCGTAGGTATCCTTCTCAACACGCACATTGTCATGAACATCGATTCGTGCGAAAGTCCGATAACACGAATAGGGCGTGCGCAATCAAAGGTACAGTTTACGATAAGAATGGTTTCTAATTTCTATCTCTAGGAATCCCCAGTGACACTCGCGGGTAACAGGAAGAACACTGTCGACTGCCAAAACTCAACAGCCAGGACATAAGGGAGCCCTGTTACCGGATCGCCCCGAATTCCCTCCCCATCGATGTCATATCAGACGAGTGACGAGGCGATACAGATTGCAACATTCGTTCTAGGACCCACACACAGCCAGTTGATCGCCTAGCGATGAGGCGACATTTTCCTGCTATTTCTTTATTCTCTAATATTCGTTTTGCTGCTGCGATCCTTTATTCAATTTTCTACCGCAAGAGGCTGAAAAAGATGGACTATTTTTGGTGTTAGTAGGGCATTTTTGTCAACTTATGCTTATAAGTGAATGAATTTTTGCCTACCGTAGTAAGGCATTCGCATTAGGACCCACACGTACGCAATGACACACATTGCATAGCTCGTCCAAACCCCATTCGGGGGACGAGCGATTCGTGCGATTCTGGGTGCGTGCGGCAAATTGCGCGGCGAAATTGGCGATCATTCAAACAACTCTGGCGTCTATCATTGGGGCGCAACCTTGAAGTAAAGTACTTTAGTAGGTTCGGACAATCCTACTAACCTACTTAACTTCAAATTTGGGCCTAAATGATAAACTCTGCAGTCGTCCGAATCGCACCGGATTTCGCCGCGCAATTTGTCGCGCGACCCAAAATCGCACGAATCGCGACACACCCACCCCATTCTTCTCATTTTCCGGGTCCGGTAACTTCCCCCTGAACACGGCGTCGCGCTCGCCGCACCCGCCGCGTATCGCAGAATTGTGATGGATGATTGGAGGGCGCAATTTGTGAGTTGGGGAGCCCTTAGTTACTTGAATTCACTGACCACTTCCTTTAATTCCAATGCGGTCTTAATATGGGTAATGTAGGAGGAGTCATTCCCAACAATCAAGTT